TGCAACCATCTTAACCCATGACTAACGAATTAGTCTGGGACCCCAGGCGAACAACGAGGGGGGACCTCAAGTGAGGGGTCGATCAACTTTCAGGCTCACCGAGCGACTAGAGGCCACTTATCGGAACCTATAGGGCGCCAGGAAACCAAGATGAAAACGTAGAGCTAATATATCACATACATATACCCTACTGCGATTGCTCAGATGCTATTTATTGCTTATTACAAGACTCAATTTATGACCTAAATTGACGCTCTGTCCTTTTACACTCTGATTCCTTTCCAATTCCTTATCCTTTATTCCGACCTGTGCATTCATCCACTTCTCTAGGCTCTTCATTTCCAACCCATCATAACCCACGGTGATTGGCGGAAATAATGTTGTTCATCTGAGTTTGGGAACAAAACGAACCACCTTATACTAACACATGTACAATATATGCAGAAAATTGCTTATTTGCCTTGTTTTTGTTATTGGAGAGAAATATCCCGACGGGCGCGCACTTTCGTAGCCTTCATGGGAGCTGTGTCATCTGCCATGAAGGCTTAGTGACGAACATCACACAATTAATTATGGGGCAAATACGACTTCTGTTGAGGAATACACGACCGTTACTCATCCTATATGGACCCCATATAACCTCATTGGCTGAGCAATAGCGCCGTTGGCACATAACCGAATTGAAACACGCGCCAGCTCATCTACTTTCGGGGTAGGTTACCAGGTACCATATCTAGTAAATATGCCCGAAGCTCACTCAATTTTTCTGCATCTCAATGAAAGGGGAGCACATGGGATGACCCCGAATGGGTAAATATCAGTTATCCCACATTTTACCATATTGCAAATAACTAAGTCAGTTATAAAACCAGACCGCTAAAGAATGAAAGCATAGGCGGCAACGCAATCACACGTTGATAAATTGTCAGAAAGCAACTCACCACAAACAAAGGAAGTCACTGAAAGATCCTTGTTGCCAACATCAGACTTCAAATTCAATGTGCAGACAGGACAGGAGCTGAAATACAATGTCAAACATTGCGGTTTATTGACAGCTCGTTGCTAAGCAGTACGATACAGGGATATTGAGTGGTGATACTTGGGCATTTTTTCACCTAGCGTAAACATCAGAGACTTGAAATTGGTGTTTATCTCATTTTCTAGGCTAGGTGCGGTCCAGATAAGAGGATGCAGTTACTATCAGCCAGCCTTGTTCAGTGGACAAACGAGGTCCGCCCACTCAAAGGGGGGCCCACTCACTGCGAGTAATTCCTCCTTCACAATTTCTCCGTC